TACTCTACTCTACTCTACTCTACTCTACTCTACTCTACTCTACTCTACTCTACTTTACTTTACTTTACTTTACTTTATAGTCATCGCACCTCATACAATGAAATTAAATACCATCTTCAGTGTACAATTTACTACTATGAAAATAAACACACACATCCTTCACACTCCACACATTGAATTGAAAACCCCTGATATTGCACAAATATTGCACTATCCAGTAGAATTCTGTAGAGTTACTGCCCTGGGATAGAAGCTGTTTTTCAGCCTATTTGTCCTTGTATCCTGTATCGTCCGCTATATGGTAATAGTTCAGAAAAAAAAGGGTGCCCAGGATGAGGTGGATCTTTGAGAATGTTTTGAACTTTCTTAAAGCAGCGGGAGTTATAAAGCTCTTCCAAAGAGGGGAGAGGGCAACCAATGATCTTCTGGGCATGATCTTATTGGGAGAAATACTGGCTTACCACAAACTGCCAAAGGTGTTGATCCTAATTCAATCTCATCCTGAGTGACACAGAACTGAATTTTTCAATCCTGGTTTCATTCAAGAGTTGCGGCTGCACATAGCATAGGATAAAAGCCTAAGCAAGAATCTTCCCCCCCCCAACTTATACAGTTCTGTTTTGTAACACCTCCAGCTCGCTTCCCATAACCATGTCCCCGCTCCTGCCCCCGTTACTTATGACAGCCGAAAGATGCAAAGCAAAGGAAGAAAATCTTGAAGGCTGACAGTAATGGTATGTGAGAAAGACCTTGAGAGACCAGGCAAAGAGAGCCTGCCTAGGGAATGATTGGGTAAGAGGGAGCAGAGCCCACAGCTGTATAGTGGACATAGCAAGAGACTCAGAAGAGACCACCCCTAAGTTACAGATACAGATTAACAGAGTTGGAAGGGACCTAGTAGGTCATCTAGCCCAACCCCCCACTCAAGCAGACCTACACCATTTCTGACAGATGGCAGTCCAGTCCCTTCTTGAAAGCTTCCAATGATGAAGCTCCTGCAACCGCTGTTCCATGGGTTGATTGTTCTTGGGCTGCAAAAAATAATGGTGGGAGATGCCTATTTTCAGACTTGCAAGATTCTATTAATTTAACTTTACAATAAAGTAGAGTTAGCTTATCTGGTCATGTTTCCTATCTGGCCTACCTGGTAAAAGGCTGATATCTTACCCTATGGCTTTCTCCACAGGTTGGTCCCGCTATTCAATTGTAGGAGATGCCTCTGCCGGTCAACACAACTTACGCATCGACTATGCTGAACTCGACGACGATGCTGTTTATGAGTGCCAAGCCACACAAGCAGCGCTGCGCTCCCAGCGAGCTAAACTTACTGTACTTAGTGAGTTTCCTTCTACCTTCCTGTTTTTGTTGGTGAGACGATCCCAGTTTTTCAAAATCCCAATTTGTGGTCTCCTGAACAGCTACCCCAGCTATACACATCAAGAGATTCTTCTGGTTCAGGGGTGTCAAACTCAACGCCCGGGGGCTGGATCCGTCTCACAGTGTGTTTAGATCTGGCCCGTGGGGCTGCCCTGGAAACAACGAAGGACCAGCCCTCAGTGCCTCTGCCAGTGAAAACAGAGTGGCCCTCCTGAGCTCCGTTTTCGCTGGCAGAGGGATGCAGGAGGCCCTCCCAGCCGAAAACAGAGCTTGGGAGCCCATTTTTGCTGGCAGAGTGCTCACGCCACCACAGGTGCCCCCTACCACAAGTGCTGTGCCATGCCCACCCTGGCCACACCCCCACCCACCACCCAAGGTCAAACACAACCCTGATGCGGCCTTCAATGAAGTCGAGTTTGACACTGGTTGATCTTTCCATGAGAGTATCATGAAAGCCTAAATTGGACTATGAAGAAGTGGATATGGTTCGTTATGTAAAATCACTCCTGCAGACTCATGATGGCTTCTGGGGAAAGCTGGCCCATGCCCATGTTAAAGCTTGAAGTCATGTCCACTGAGGAAGATAACTTAGAAAGTTTGTAAAGGACAGAAAGTGTGATCTGGGGATCCCTGGGGATCCCACAAGATTCTCTCAGAGGTCCATGAAATAAAAAATTATTTGCCAGATATTAAAGATATTTGCTAAAATTTAAAATGGTATAACTCTTCTCACTACAGATACCGGTAGTTCTTGTTTAGCGACCGCAATTGGGACCAGCAACTTGGGTGTTAAGCAAAGCTGTCACTAGGTTACTATGCTAACAAACTTCTTTCAGCTTTCCTTTGCTTTACAGACCTGCGAAGGTTGCAAGTCATAAATGCAAGGATTGGTTGTATAGTTACCTTTTTACCACCATCATAACTGCAAATGATGGCTAAACAGGGCAATTACTAAATGTGGACTAACCTGTGTTATTGTTTATTTCATATAATATTGCACATTAGATATTTTGTTGCATGTCCGCATGTGTTCTTACAATATAAATGAGGTAATATCATTAGCGGAGGGCAGGGAGAACAAAGTTTGCTGGCTCATTGATGCATAAGAACATGAAGCCAGCAAACTAACCTGCATTGAGGAGGATATTAAACCTGGCAATGAAATATTTGCAGGCAGAGAAGCAGGCTCAGAGCTCAAGGGTTCAATCCTGGGTTACATACCATTCTCCATTATGGCAAGCGTAGAAAATGGACCAGGTTGTCTCTGCGGGTCTCTTGCTCCCATTTCTTCTCCACCCATATTTTTAAAAGCATTGTTGCAGAAAGGTAGTCATTTCACCCACAGATACGGGGGCCTTGCAAAGGGGCTATCAAGCTTACCTATTCTGGTTTAGCATAAGCCTTGTTTTCTACGTTTTTCCGAGCAGTGAAGATTGAATTATAAGCCAGTGGGGATAGTAGAGAGCCCGTAGAAATCAGACCAAGAGACAGAATGAGCAAAAGTGAATGAATTGTGGAGATATTGGTGCTGTCTGACTTGGTTGTTTCCTTGCAGACATTCCATTACCCAACTAGGTAACATCATCCAAGTTGTTGGTGTTAACTTTCAGTGCAATAAGATGTTCCCGAGCTGGATAATGAAACTTCTGCAAGATGTTTAGAGAGTACCAAGGACTCCACGGTTGAACCCCAAGCTATAAGTATTATCTTCTATTAGTGAAGGAATTTTGTAGTGCCAACAGTTGGTCGTTCCCAGGCCTGGTTGTCTATAGCCTCTTTCCAAGACATGGTAACCAACCATACCTCTCTGCCTGTGTTCTTGCAGTCCCTCCCAATGACCCTGAGATTCACAGTGGCCCCATTGTCCATGTCATATCCAACATCCCCTACAACCTTTCATGCCGCGCATCTGGAGCCAAGCCAGCAGCTGAAATCACCTGGTATCGTGATGGGCAGCGACAAGAATCAGCTGTTTACTCCAAGGTGCGTCAGTGAGTTGAGCTTTGGTTCCCACCGAGTGCGGCAGCGACCTGGGAATGGGGGTTTTCAAGTTTTGGGGTAAGCTCAGCCTGACGGTTTTCAATCGCTAGTTGTCAGAATTGCCCATTGGGCAATGTCAGAGGGAGATCCAATCTGGAAGTAAGGTGGGATTTCGTAGCACTGAGAATGATTAAACAGTGGAAGACCCAAAGGTGCTTTTTCCAAAAGGCAACTGGATGTCAGGATTCCGGCAGTTACTCCAATTAAATGATGAGCCTCGAGCCACACTCCCAAAACTTGAAAGGATTTATTAGAAATTAACATGCCGGCATAAGCCTGGGCATAGCCGACTCTGAGATACGTAATTCACTGTCACCCTTGATCCTGCTTTTCCGCCCCACCCTTCTGGGTGTATCATCCAACAAAACATGGCCATAGCCAAGAGTCCTCAATCATGCTCTCCAATTAGATTTTTGCCCAGCAGAAGCTTCAGTCATCTAATCAGTCTCTGAAGAAAATATGAATGGAATGTACTTTCGATTCCACACTGCTGCCTGCTCTTTGAAACACTCCCCTTCTTTTTGTTGACAATTATAAAACGCTGTACACAAAATGTTTTATGAGTTGACATTGGACTTGTCTTGGGTTTTTTTTTTTTCCTTTGAAAATGTTTCACTTCTCATCATCTCATTCGGAGGTCTGAAGAAGCTTCTTGGATGAGAAGCAAAACGTTTTGGAAAAAAGCACCTTTGGGACAACCCTGACTTGGATGATTGGTAACCTTCATAGACAAGCAGTGGAAGAGTTTGCCTCCTGGAATTGCAGATGCTGCATCACCGGAGGTTTTCAAGAAAAGTTTAGGATAACTATTTGGGGGGTGGGAATCTATGGACCTCTGTCTTGTACAGGGATTTGGACTAGAAGGCCTCCAAGATTTCATCCAACTCTATAATTCTATGATATTGACCAATGGGCAGGTTAAGGTGAAGTGTCAAAAATGTATGATGTAGACTTGTATGTAACAAAGAGAGGGATAGGGGAAAAGGCCCATATCCAAACCAATTGTGAGCAATCCATGGCATTCTAGGTCTATAACTTCTGGCCCGGTCTTCCTAGAGTCACTAGAAGTTTGGCTATAAACAGTGGTGGGATTCAAAAAAATTTACTACCGGTTCTGTGGGTGTGGTGTGACTTGGTGGGCATGGCTTGTTGGGCGTGGCAGGGGAAGGATACTGTAAAATCCCCATTCCCTCCCCACCCCACTAACCTGCTTTCCAGCTCCGTTCTCCTGTGCAGGGCAACCAAAGGAGAGCCAGCCAATCAGCTGGGACTTGGGAGGCGGAGAATAGATGGGGGCGGGGCCAGTCAGAGGTGGGATTTGCCAGTTCTCCGAACTACTCAAAATTTCCACTACTGGATCTCCAGAACTGGTCAGAACGGGCTGAATACCCACCTCTGCTCTAAATGCGTCTTCTTTGTTCTCCTGCAGTCCCTGATGGATGATGGCAAGCGGGAAGTGGCTGTCAGCACCTTCCTCTTAATACCAAGCAGCCGAGACATGGGCAGCACCTTCACCTGTCGTGTCAGCAACCCGGCAGCCCCTGCTGGCAAGCAGACCTCGGTCACCCTTAACGTTCAGTGTAAGTATCCAAGGCTTCTCAGTTCTTAGGAGGACGGGATGAATGGAGGGATGAGTGAGAGACCCCTGCGCTTGGCTTTGTGGCCAAGAAATGGTCAGGTAGACCATTGAGTTTGGAAGGACTCTTAATAGCAAGAGCACTTAGACTTATATACTGCCTCGCAATGCTTTGCAGTCCTCTCTAAGCGGTTTACAGAGTCAGCCTCGTAATTTAATGATTAGCTCAAGATAGCTGAGCTAATCCCCAGCCATGGATGCATTGATTACATTCGTGTCCTGCCCCTCCCTCCACCCCCACACAGTTACCGCAGGAAATCTTCACAAAGTATTGTTCCCCTCTACCGCTCACAAAACATCAAAGGTATCAATCCAAGATCTGGGCTAAGGTCATCTGAGAGGTGACGTACCCAGATGAATTCCCAGATTATAATTCGCTTTGTGAAGGGAGACATTCTTTTACCATTAAAGACCTGGAAACTCTTCAAGTGAAGAAGACATTGAGAATGTTTAACTTTGAGAAGAGAGGACACCCACACAATAGCATTCTTCAGATACCAGAAAGAAAGCCTGAGATGTTGAGCAGGACAGAAAAAAAAATAATAATTTGAATGATGGAATGTTAGGAAAACCTTTCTGAGCTGCACGGGCCGCTCAGTAATGGAGTCAGTGATCTGAGGATGGAATAAGCTGACCTTTGTCAGAAATGTCCAAGCAGAGAAGGACAGCCATTGGTCTGAATGCTTTAATTTGGATTCCTCCACTGAACTGTGGACCTGAAGGTTAAAAGTAATTTCTTCCAATTTTAGGACTCTGTGCACTTTTATACATATGAGCTGCTTATAGGAGCTGACCTCAGCATTCTAAGGCTGTTATTAGAAGCCCCGAAGAAGCAGGAAGAAGCCCAGTCAAACAATTAAGTTGGAGGCAAATACTGTATTTTACGGCAGCTGGGACTGAAAGTCAGGTACCTGATCCTTGAGAGAAGCCCAGGAAACCTGAAGCACAGCAAGCAACTGGGATTGTGGCTCCCTGGTTTTGGGGTAGCCCCTGAGAAGGTCTAACTCTACTTAGATGGAGCAGTTAACTCACAAGACAGAGAGCAAGGGATCCAACTAGATCCGCAAACAGACAGCAAGGGAGTGTTCTGACCCAAACCCTTGTCCAATAAAACAAACACGAACCAAAGGGAACAGAAACCTTTTAATGATTCTTACGAATCCCCCGGTTAAAGGCTGCTGCAAACTAATTAACCTTGATAAGCACGAGCCTCATCAAAACTGTGTGAGGCTGCCAAGAATCACAGATAAGGTTACCTAGAAATATTTTACAGCAAGAGTCTTCAAATACCAACTAAAATACTGCAATGTCCATGAGGCTGGAGTTTCAAAACGTCTTTGCTTCCTGCAAAGAACATTCACTTCACAGCTGGCTTTTTATCTTCTTGAAGGAGGGACCACATTACCCTGCAGCCTTACTGCCAAGTCACCCATGCTGTTGCAGCTGCTCTTTCCTGCAAGCAACCCTGCGTGCACGCACACTTGGCACAGGCTCCTCGGGAACCTCCTCATCGCTGCTGCCAGCCCCCACAATCTCTGAAGGCAGCAGTCCACTCCCTAATAGTCCTGGCCCTTCATCTGAGTCCTCGCTCTCCTCAGCCGTCTGCACCTGCTGCCGGCTAACCACAACAGGGAGCTAAGTCGCTGCTGGCAGAACTAGACACCACACCCCATAATAATTCTCCCACTTTTTTTGCAGAATTGGTTTCCCGAACTTGCTTGATGAAGACTAGGGTGTGAGAGAATTGTGATGCTAATGATCTTTGGGTCGCTGTATTGTACTGTGTACAAAACTATGTGCATAGTATTGTCTTGTGGAAAAATTGTACAATGGAGAAATAAAACAATTGGGATTTTTTTTTCCCCCCGTCCTTCTTCTTCTCCTTACAGATCCACCCATTGTGATCCTGTCTGTACAGCCGCAAACTGTGCCTGAAGGCGGCAAAGTGAGCTTCCTCTGTACCGCAACTTCCAATCCTGAAGTGACAGGTTACCGGTAAGGAATTAGAGAGAATCTGAAGAAGCTGCAGAGTTCAAATGGAGCAATTGTGGGGTTGAAGTGCCCTCTAATGGCAACGTGGAGGATTGCCCGCTCAGTTATTCAGATGGAAGTCCTTGCTTACTGACCTCCATTGGGGTCGGCAACTCTTTTATCGCTAAGTGACGTAGTTGTTAAATGAAATGTCAGGTGACTTCACCGGATTTAGGATTGTCAGTTCCAGCTCCCGTCAGCAAGCAAACTCCCCGCAGTCATTTAGCATGATGTCATGTGGCTGTGACTCGTGACTTCCCACTGGCTTCCCCATTGAATGTACTTGTCAGAAGCTGGCTGGGAAGGGCACAAATGGTGATCATGTGACCATGGGGTGGTGTAGCTAATAAATGTGCTGGTTGCCAAGCACTTAAATCACTGAACAAACAGTTGGTAACCAAGGACTATCTCTACTTGTCCTGCTGATGTGTAAGAATTAGCTAACATGGATCAGTTCAAAAGTTACACTACTTCCCACTTGTATTCTCTAGTTTTCAAAAGTGTATGGTCACTGAATCTAGTGAGGGTTCATAATCCAAATGATTAGTAATCATTGATACCTTCCGCTGATTTTCTGTAGTCCAATTTTTAAGCCATCTTAATTTGGTAACCATCATCCATTCTTGTGGCAGGAAGTTCCCCAGGGCACCGCATGAAAAAAATTCTCTATTTGTCTGCTCTAAACATGTCTGCTCAGCTTCATTATGGATTTTGGCTTCTAGTATCATGAGAGAAAAGGAGTAACTTCTCCTTGCTCTCACACCTTTACTGATCTCTTGAGTAAATTTAAAAGGTCACTGCTTTTTCTTCTACAACAGGAATGGGCACACTTTCAGTAGCCGGAAAGCACATTAACATTTTGGGTGGAAGGGTGACAGGTTCTAATGTGGAGGCAATGACAACCAGGCAACCGAGTTCCTATGAAAAGTAGGAACTCACAAAACTCACAAAAGTAGAGTAATATTAGAGTAGAGTAATATTTGTGAGTAGGAACTCACAAAAGTAGAGTAATATTAGTTGGCTGTGTTGGTTGTGGTTGCAAGAATCTACTCCGCCAATGTTGTAACATGGAGGATGAACCAGGTCACAATGTTAAGCCAGACTGTGATTTATTTATTTGGACACTTCTATCAGCCTGTTGTGGTAGTCCAGACATGAAATCAAAAACACAAATACCAACACTACCATTATTGTAAGGTTATAGTAAGAGAACTTGCAAATCTAAAAATACGTCTCCCCGCCCTTACCCTGACTTTCCATAGAACAAAAGAGAATCCCTTCTGAGATGCTTTCTCGACCTCCATTCTTTGGTGGACTCAAACATCTCTTGTCAGACCCTTGACTAGTCTGCAGCTCTTCCTCCTACTCCCAAGTTATTCTCACAGCCTCATTCCACTGCCCATGACCCGAACCCAGATTTAAGAGTTTAACATGTTGAGTCAAGATCTCCTAAGTCCGTATCTCCCTTGACAGGTGGGCTAAAGGAGGTGTCCCCATCCCAGAGGCCAACGGTGACAGCTACGAAGCCACAGTTGACCAGTCTTTCTTCACAGAGCCCGTGTCGTGTGAAGTGTCCAACGCTGTGGGCAGCACCAATGTTAGCACTCTGGTGGACGTCCACTGTAAGTCAAAACTTTCAAAAAGGAATTAGGGAAGAGGTTGGGGGGGGGGGGTCAGCAAGCATTTTTCCCCCCTAGCATTTATGAGCTGTGATGGCGCAGTGGTTAGAATGCAGTACTGCAGGCTACTTCTGCTGACTGCCAGCTGACTGCAATTTGGCAGTTCAATTCTCACCAGGCTCAAGATTGACTCAGCCTTCCATCCTTCCAAGTTCCGTAAAATGAGGACCCAGATTGTTGGGGGCAATAGGCTGACTCTTTAAACCCCTTGGAGAAGGCTATAAGAAGCGGTATAGAAGTCTAAGTGCTATTGCTATTTCCCTGGAGACTAAACCTGTAATTTCTATAGGTAAGCCAGGGATACAAAACTGGATGGGCCATTTGGGGAGGTTGAAGTCATCACATCTTAAAGTTGTTGAGGTTGAGAAACACTCAGAGAGAGACCCAAAGGTGATTTTTCAAGAGGCAGTTCGACTTCTTTGCTTTTTCCTTGAAGACTTCTCACCCAAGAAGCTTCTTCAGTTCTGGGCTGAACTAAAGAACTTCAGTCAGTGCTGAAGAAGATTCTTGGGTGAGAAGCAAAGCAAAGAAAGTCCAGTTGCCTCTTGAAAAAGCACTTTTGGGACAACCATGACCTGATGACTGAGAATCTCCATAGACACTCAGACCAAGAGATAAGAGATAGACTATGAAGTGGAATCCTGAGGCTTCTACCAACTTCTTGGCTGTTGTCATTGATGCTCAACTAACTCTTTTGTCTTTTTTTACTCCTATAGTTGGGCCTCACCTTGTCTCACAGCCTAAGCCCCTGACGGTGGACATCGGCTCAGATGCCTCTTTCACCTGCACCTGGACTGGGAACCCACCTCTAACCTTGGCCTGGACAAAGAAAGGATCCACTGTGGTGAGTTCAGCTTTGACCGTCAGTTTCCATTTTTCTCTCCTATTTTAATAGTGAGCACAAGCTCAACATCAGAAGGTAGACAAGAGATTAGAATGAGAGACTTTCACCAAAGTTTTAGCCCTAGAGCCAAACTCACCAGGCATCAGCCAAGCAACATGGATCTCCACAGCCTAAAGGGGCCTCTCAAAATTTAAGATGGTTTTTCATTTATTATGGTTACAACTTTAATAGGAAGAGTCCGGTATAGCATCTTTTCTGACAAATATATTGGATTAAACCGCGTCAGCCTTCGTGAGTTGTGTCTGATGAGGTGAGAACGTTGATGCCTTCCAATCACATGCCTTCATCAGAAAAGATGCTACCAGACCCCTGATTTCTGGGCATCGTAAATTAAGCCAGATCTCTTACAATGTCATATGAGACAGTCTTCATCAGTTAAGGTCTCCTCTGTAGTACATCCGTGTCATGCCCCTGGTGGAGACCGACTCTGAGGAAGAGGAGGAACAGCCAACAGGGAGTGGGAGTGTGGCTCCAGAGGTGGTGGAGGAGGCTGGGGAAGGGAAGAGGCCAGCTGAGCAGTCAGAGGAGAATCCAGGCCCATCCCCTATCCGTCCTAGTTCAGGCAGGGAGGAGAGGATCAGGGAAAAGTGAGGTCTACTCAAGAGGAGATTACCATGATCCTCCTCATGGCTTGCGGGTGGGAGCTATATAAGTTTGCAACTGCACAGTTAGAATTTGCAGGAGTCAATTTAGACTTCACCTTGAAAGAGGTTTATCTTTGCTGGCGTTCTTTCCATGGACTTTTCTCGGTTATTTTCCTGGAGTTTATGATTAGTTATCTTGGCTTGCTTCGGAACTCTCATCAATGCGGTTTGTTTTGGTTTTCTGTTTGCCTCATTATTTACTTTTGTGACTTTAAACTGTGTCTAATAAAACAGTGAAGTTAAGTTGAAGGCCTTACTGGATGTTAATATATTTTTTGGGTTTTGGGTTATTTTGAGAGACTACGGATCATCACAATCTCATCAATGATTAAAATATATTTGGTTTCTGCAGCATCGGCCTTGCTCTTCAAAGAAAGCTCATCCCCAACCCATCACAGACCTGTTATACATCCTAATGACATTCTTGCCAAGTTCAGCTATTCCACAGCCTTCTTCTTAGCACTTGCCAAATATTGCTCTGCATCGGCGTTTCTCTATTTGGCCACTTTAACAGGCATGGACTTCAATTCCCAGAATCCCACAACCAGCTGTAATTTTGGGAGTTGAAGTCGACACATCTTAAAGTGGCCAAGATTGTAAAACACTATGGTTGAGAAACACTCAGGGATAGACCCAAAGGTGCTTTTTCAAGAGACAGTTGTACTTCCTTTGTTTTTCCTTGAAGACTTCTCACCCAAGAAGTTTCTTCAGTTCTGGGCTAAACTAAAGAACTTCAGTCAGTACTGAAGAAGATTCTTGGGTGAGAAGAAGCAAAGGAAAGGAAAAAGAAAGAAAGTCAAATATTTCTCTACAGCAATGTTTCTCAATTTGGCCACTTTAAGAGGCATGAACTTCAATTTCCAGAATTCCACAACCAGCTGCAGTTCTGGGAGTTGAAGTCAAAGTTAAAGTGAGTTAAAGTGGCCAAGATTGTAAAATACTGCTCTACCTCTTCCCATGTATTAGACCTCCCCAGGTCTACGTCTGGCCCTGATTTCTATCTTTGCAACTGGTAAACAGTACCAAAACTGGGCCCATCACTAACAAAAGGTCTGTTCCCACCGATCCCTCATTGCTTTCCTAGGCGACATTGTAAGAGAAATGTCATGTTAATCAGCAGTAGCCCCAAATCAAGAGAGGTGTGGTAGCACCTCTTCCAACTTACAAATTTAGTCAAAAGATGCCATGCAATTGATGAAGGGAGATTGCAGCTCCTGAAATCTTACACCTTTTAGTAAAAAGTGGGAAAAGATGCTATCAGACTCCTTCCAACTCCTTCCAACTCGTTCCTTCCAACTTGTACCAACAGGTGCTGAGTAACGGCAACACACTGCATCTCAAGGCAGTGACACAAGAGGATGCCGGGGTGTACGTGTGCAAAGCCATCGTGCCTCGCATTGGAGTGGCCGAGAAAGAAGTGACCCTGGCTGTGAATGGTGAGGGTTCAAGGCTTGGAAGAGCAAATCTGGCAAAGGGTGGAGATGGTGCAAACCATTTCCCAAATTGGGGAGGGGGGAGGAATTGCTAAGAGGAAAGTAGGACTTTTCCCCCCTCATTTATTGAAACCATCCCATTCAGAGGCGGTATTCAGCCGGTTCTGACCAGTTCTAGAGAACCGGTAGCAGAAATTTTAAGTAGTTTGGAGAACTGGCAAATACCACCTGACTGGCTCCGCCCCCATCTATTCTCTGCCTCCCATTGAGTCCCAGCTGATCAGCTGGGTCTTCTTTGGTTGCTCTGCGCAGGAGAACGGAGCTGGAAAGCAGGTTAGTGGGGTGGGGAGGGAATGGGATTTTGCAGTATCCTCCTTCTGTCACACCCACCAGGCCAACCACCAAACCAGGCCACGTCCACAGAACCAGTAGTAAAAATTTTTTTGAATCCCACCACTAATCCCACGGTAGTCAAATCATGATTCCCTCTCAAATTCAATTCATTCGTTCAAGTTTATGTAGCCTTCCGTCTCACTGTTGGTGAATCTGAGCAGTGAACAGCACTCAGATTATAAAGAGCAAATTTGGCAAAAATGTTAATCCATATTACAAATAATAAGAGTTAGAAATACAAACCCCCAGGTGAGAGAGGATAAAGATGGCAACCTTGTCAGTGGAGCCACCTAAGCCAGTCTCCAGTTGTCTGGGGACCCCCAGGCCTAAGACCACAGCCAGCTCTTAAGGAGCTTTTCAATGAGGAGCTAAGAGGTTACAACTTCTAATTTCCAATAAAAGAGAATACACGCAGCTCAGTCTTTGGTGCTCTTTGAGTATGCAAGAGTTTGCAACACACAACCATCTATATTGTAGATGCATGGTAAATATTCAACATATTTATGTATAACATTGTATGTATGAGATACAGTGTTAAGGAGTGTTAACAAACCACCATGTAGGACAGGCAGGCAGAAGCCACTTTCATGAACACCAACGAGTAGTTAGAAGGCACGATGAAAACACCTAAATCTCACAACACCTGTCTATAGGCTCAACCATAGTTTCAACTGAGAAACTGAGCATCCAAGACCAAATCAAGTCCAAAAATGCTAAGGAATTCCTGAAAGCTTGGCATTCACAGTGGCACAGTGGTTAGAGTACAGTACTGCAGGCTACTTCTGCTGACTGCCGGCTGCCTGCAATTTGGCAGTTCAAATCTCACCAGGCTCAAGGTTGACTCAGCCTTCCATCTTCCAAGGTTGATAAAATGAGGAGCAACAGGCTGACTGTGTAAACCACTTAGAGAGGACAGTAAAGCACTGTGAAGTGGCATATAAGTCTAAGTGCTATTGCTATTCAGACAAATCAGCCATCAATAAACACATAGAGATAAATCAAAGTTAAAAGAGACAATTTAAAAGCTACCAATTAAACAAAAAGACAGGATTCCATCCAACAGTTGACACCAGATAAACAATCAAGCAGAAAACAATACCTAATCAAGGAACTACCAAGAATAAAGCTCCCAGAAACATTGACAGGACAAGCTACTTTATATAAAGAGGGAGCAAACCCCACACTCACAAGACACTGATGTTAATTATCTACAGTAGTTTCATAATGAAATGTCTAGAACTAAACAACCAGGCTCAGAGAGCGCCGAGGACTCCAAAACAGGGGTGGGATTCTACCGGTTCGGCCTGGTTCAGGTGAACCGGTAGCTCCGAGGACCAGCTGTGAGCAAACTGGTTCACTCCGACAATCAGCTGTTGGGTCCACCAGCCCACTGCAGCTCTAGTCTGTGTTTTATATCCTGATTTTCCAGCTCAGCTGATTCGAACGGCACAATGGATTGCCGCACGTCAGCTGTTTAACACACAGAGATTGCTAGAGAAGGTCAGTAGCAAACACTGTGCGCGCATGAAGCACATGTTTGGCTCACTGAACCTTTTGTTAACACTGGTTGAATCGCTCCAAAATTGAATCGCACCCCTGATCCAAAACCTCTAATTTGCTCAGGTTGGGCCTTTGTTTCCAGGTCCACCCATTATCAGTGCTGAATCAAGCCAGCAGACCGCAGTGGGAGCCAAGGCCCGTCTGGAATGTTTGGTGGAAAGCGTGCCACGGCCGGACCGGATCGTAAGTATTGCAATCTTTTAATGACCTTCCATTGGCCTTTCATTAGATCTTTGCCCAATTAGTAAGAATACAATAAACATTTGTAAATAAAAATGGTGTGACAGTTCACAAAGATTACTAGGTACCAATAGAAATACATCCTATTTCCATAGCAAGCAGGGATGGTTAAACTGAATACTTTATCTAAAGAGGAAAATATGTTCTTATTTAGATACCACTTCTGGAATTTCTGCTTGTGAAGAATAAAAAATGAAACTCTGATTTGGGTTGTGTTGATCAGAAAGATTTGGTGTTATAGAAATGGCTAGTTATGTGTTAATATGTCAGAGCAAAAAGTTGAGGTTGAAGTGTGTTTATCTTGTACTGGGCTAGGAGGAGTTGCAAGTCAATGCTCCCTTTTCTTTCTTTCTTTTTCTCTTCTTCATTGTATTTCACACACCTTTTTCCCCTTCCCCTTCCTTCCTTCCCTTAAATTCCTATTTTCTTTTCTTTTTTTTGTATTTTATACAATAAAAATAAAAGGGGAGGGGGCAAGATTTTTGCCCAATTTGCCATGCAAGCTTAGAATTCAGCGCCCAAGGAAATGGCAGTTCTTTAAGTGTACACAGATTTCTAGTTTTGAAGGCACACTGTATATAATATCGCAAAGCTGGCTCCTTCCTTAGCTTGATGAATTTCCTAGCCAAGATCAAAGCCATCTTTAAGGTATTTTAAAATATAAAAGACAAGTTATAAATACAGTTGTTTGATGGACGAACTGGCCTGGAAAGAATTTCCCCGAGAGCATTTGAGAGCCAGCGGAAAAAAGTTGCTTCAGAATAATACCCAACAATTTAAAAAGTTCAATGACCAATACCTATGTCAAAAAGGAAGCTTGGATTCATTAGCGATGTAAAAGAACAGATCAAGGCAAGCAACATCAGCGCCAAAATAAATAATCCAACGATAACATAAATAAGATGCAGATAAGATTCTTGACTTACAAACTATTTAGCAACTGCTCGAAGTTACAAAGTCACTGGAAAAAGTGACTTATAACTTGCAATATGGTCCAGTATGGTCATGTGATCAAAATTTGGGTGCTTTGTAGCGGACATTGCAAACTGTCCTGTATTTATGACTATTGCAACATCCTGGGCAGTGGTGGGATTCAAAAAATTTTTACTACCGGTTCTGTGGGCGTGGCTTGGTGGGCGTGGCTTGGTGGGCGTGGCAGGGGAAGGATACTGTAAAATCCCCGTTTCCTCCCCACCCCACTAACCTGCTTTGCAGCTCCGTTCTCCTGTGCAGGGCAACTAAAGAAGACGCAGCCAATAAGCTGGGACTCAATGGGAGGCAGAGAATAGATGGGGGCGGGGCCAGTCAGAGGTGGGATTTGCTGGTTCTCTGAACTACTCAAAATTTCCACTACTGGTTCTCCAGAACAGGTCAGAACCTGCTGAATACCACCACTGATCCTGGAGTCATGTGATCTCCACTTTTTCACCTTCCCAATCAATTTCTAACAAGCAAAGTAAACAGGAGGAGCAAGATTCACTTAACGAGTGTATGAATCTTTTTAACAATTGCAGTAGTTCACTTAACAACTCTGGCAAAAAGTGGTCATAAAATCGGGCAAAAACTCGCCGCCACAATTCTGGGTCATAAGGACAACCTGTACTCTCTTTTTAATGATGTTTTTATTTCCTTTTATTTGAAACTAAATTAAAATACAACATTGCACAGGTAGTCCTCAACTTTTGTGGCCCTCCATGGACCACAATGGAGCCCCAAATTTATGTCGTTAAGTGAGACATTTGTTCAGTGAGTTTTGCCCCATTATACGACCTTTCTGGCCACGGTTGTTAAGTGAATCATTGCGATTGTTAAGTTAGTAACCCGGTTGTTAAGTGATTCTGGCTTCCCCATTGACTTTGCTGGTCAGAATGATGCCACATGACCTTGCCACATGACCTGCAACTGTCATAAATGCGAGTCCCTTTTCAAACATCCCAATGTAAATCATGTGGGGATGCTGCAACAGTTGGAAGTGTGGAAAATAGTCATAAGTCACTTTTTTTCAGCACCATTGTAACTTCGATCACTAAGTGAACTGTTGTAAGTCAAGGACTACCCATAGTTTTCCTTCAGAACTCTTTGGATGGCTAACCTTGGTGGGGCCATCAGCAAAGTACTGTGTTTCTCTGAAAATAAGACCCTGTCTTATATGTTTTCTGCCACCAGAAAAGGTACCAGGTCTTATTTTCGGGGGATGTCATCCACTAACCTCACTTAAGCACGTCACCCCCAGCCTCCTTTTTGCTGTCAGAGGCCTTCGGGAACTTCTTCTGCAGCTGGCAAGGCTTTCCTGAAGGCCTCTGCAACTGATAACCGAGCTCTGGATTGATCTGGAGCTTTCTTATCAGCTACAGAGGCCTTCAGGAAAGCTTTGCCGGCTGCAGAAGAAATGGGCCAGCATGGCAGGTGTCGGGGTGTGCGAGGCCTGGCTACAACTGTCCAAAGATAAGTAATAGGGCTGCTCCATCCCCACCTAGCTTAATTTTTACCAGTGCACTCTGGAGTGGGCGGGATCCTAATTAGGGCTTATTTTGAGGGTAGGTCTTATATTGGGCACACGTGTAAAAAAAATCAAGGTAGGGCTAATTTTCAAGGTAGGTCATATTTTTGAGGAAACAGGGTACATTACTGCAGAAGATGAGGGGCCAACACCAAAAAGGCCCTGACATTAAGGCCCAACAGGGATTCAGATCTTCGTATCGTACCAGCCTAAACTGGTAGATTCGGACAATGTGGGCAGATCTTCAGCTAAACCAGATGAAAGGACATTTAGCCCCCAGGGATTTCTAAAAGGAGGATCTATTACATATAAGCCGTGAGCTCATTTGCATGGCTGCTCCAGCTTCTGCCTGGCTGACCAGGAAAACTATGGCAACTGTATTTCTCCCCCTGCCCATTCATATCCTTGTCGTGTGAGAGAGAGCCTCCAGGCCACTGGCAAACAATGAAGCGCCACCTTTTTTTTTTTTAAGTGTAATTGATAGGTGTACAAACAGTTAAAAACAGCAAGAAGGCTGGAGTGGAATTATTAATGAAACAATAAGTCTAAAATCCAATTTCTCATCTCCCCCCAAAGCCCAGCAGGCTTAGGCTGCAAAAATACTCAGGCTTACCTGCTTGTCTCCGTGGAGACTTCGCTGGGTGTAGATGTGCAGCGATGTGCAGTCTTGTTATTGCTCTTCTCCAAAAAAAATCAAAGCTATGCAAGACCATTAAATTACTGTAGGGAAGGGCCTTGGGGAGCGCCAAAAGAATCAACACCAGAAAAGCTGCAGACCACAATTACACAATGCAGGGCTTCGTTTGAGGATGCAAACTAGCATTGTCCAGCCGGAGAGAGGGAGCCCAGGGTGTCCAACTGCATCAGATCAGGGCCCGCTTTGATAAGCCAAATGAATCCTAACCTGCGCTCCAGTCTCTGTGTTACCTATCCAGAATTTGCCAGCCCTGCAGAAGTTGAATACCAAAGTTATAACCGCTAAAACTATTTCGATTAGAAGGGTTAAGGAACAGAATCTTGCAACTCTGAATGGGCCTCCTCCCATCCTCCTTCCCTTTAGCTGCAAGGGAACTAGGGAAGCATGCAAATGAGAGTAGATAAATAGGTACCCCTTTGGTGGGAAGATGACACCACTCTTTGAAGATGTTTCGCTTCTCATCCAAGAAGCTTCTTACAGCTCTGACTGGGGGTGGTGGGGAATAGAAGGATTTATATTCCTTGCGGATCGCTGGTTGTTCGCATTCTTTTTAGAGCCGCGGTGTCAAACTCACAGCGCCAGTCATCACGTGATGTATTGTGACTCTTTTCCCCTTCGCTAAAACGGGGGGTGGGCGTAGCCAGCGCATGATGCATCTGGCCCACAGGCTGTTTGACACCCCTGTTTCAGAGAGTCATTGAGGCCACTTGGAGGTTTATCTGTGTCCTCAGGGTCACCTGAGTAGTGCCAACCTATTCTCCACACCCATTTGCACTGTGACCCTCAGGACACAGATAAACCTCCAAGTGGCCTCAATGACTCTCTAAAAAGAATGCAAATAGCCAACTGTCCTCAAGGAATATAAATCCTTCCGTTCCCCACCACCATCCAGTCAGAGCCGAAGAAGCTTCTTGGATTAGAAGCAAAACATCTTCAGAGGAAAAAAACAACAACCCAGAAAGTCCAGTTGCCCCTTGGGGAAAAAAAAGCACCTTTGAGACAACCACGACCAGACATTTAGGTCTCAGTGCAGGAACTCAACCCATCAGCATTTTCTTCAGCTGCCAAGCCAAAGCAGGATGAATTTTGCAAAACTGAAAGCCAGCTGTCTGGGCAAACCTGTTTTATCTGCAGATCACATACAGGTCACCGAATCCAGATTCCTGTGGCCCAGAACGCCGATGCTCTCAACTGCAGGGAACACAGCCTTTTTCTGCCTTTGATTTCTCCCTGAACAAGTAGATGAGACAGCATATTGCTGGCTGGTGCTGCTTCTTCGTGTGCTCGGTTTTCTAAGTAGCCGACGCAGCCGGAAGTCCCTGATGCAGCTCACGATAGCACTGTTCTCCGCTGTTCACATTTTTCTCTCTCCGTGCATTTTCTTTTCTTTTCTCTCTCTCTTCCTCTCTCTGAAAAAAAACCCATATCACCAGCCAGCCACTAATACAACTCCAGGCTAAAAAGAATTTTTAAAATAGAAGTGGAATCCATGGGAGGGGGAGGGGGAGAGGGGGAAGTGAGCTGGCTTTGCTCTCTCCATACCAAATAGCAAAAAATAAACCCAAACAGAACTTGCATCTCCAAATCACTTTCCCAGGTGGCTTCATTTTCAAATCCCAGTGAGGTTTTTTTTCTCCCCCTTCCATTAGTCTGCAAAAAGAAAAGACAAATGAGATTAGCAAATGTATACAGGTAATAAACAGCTTTGATGAGCTGGTGATGCGCAATCACCACTTAGAAAAATGCTTTACCCAACTCCATTGTTACAGCCTCAACCCCTCACAGCTTCAATGTCAAACTGTCTACCATGGACCTCACCCCATTCCTCAGAGGTCCTTAAAGGGGGCGTGCATAAGCGTACCAGCCTGCTTACCGCTCCTGTCTTACTGTCCCCATTTACCTGTATTTAATTCCTTTGTTCTTGTTTATGTTCACATTTATACTTGTTATCTTGTACATGTTTGACAAACAAACAAATAAAATAAATTCAGTGTGAGCCGTGAGTGAAAAAAAATCAGCCAAGAGGTTTATTTTTGTAAAAAGGACGTCCAAGTGGCAGCTTCTACCTAGATGCTCTCTGTGTACACAGGTAGTCCACAGCTTACGACCACAATGGAGCCCCAAATTTATGTTGCTAAGTGAGAGATTCATTAAGTGAGTTTTGCCCCGTTTTACAGCCTTTCTTGCCACGGTTGCTAAACGTAGCGTTAAATTAATAACACGTGTCAGGATTCCAGCCGTTAAACTCCATTTAAATCATGAGTCTCGAGCCAAACTTCCAAAACTTAAAAAGGATTTATTGAGAGTTAACATGCCGGCACTGCCTGGGTGTAGCTGACTCTGAAATACATAATTCATTGTCACCCTTGACCCTGGTTTTCCCCCACCCCCTGAGTGTATCGTAATTCATATTCTCCAATGGGACACATCCATAGCCAAGAGTCATCAATCATGTTCTCCAGTTTGAATTTTGCGCGGCAGAAACTTCAGTCACCTAGTTACGATCTTTGAAAACATTTATAGAATGCACTTTCGGTTTGCAAGCTGCCGCACTGCTCCCCCCTCCCTTTCTGTTGGCAACTCTAAAAAGACCGTATTTTATGAGTTGACAACATGGTTGTGAAGTGAATTTGGCTTCCCCATTGACTTTGCTCTCCAGGTCTCAAAAGGGGATCGTACCAGACACTGCAGCCACCATAAATATGAACTAGCTGCCAAATGTCCGAATTTTGATCATGTGGCCAGAGGTATGCAGTGGTCGTAAGTGTGAAAAATGGTCCTAAGTGACTTTTTTCAGTGCTGTTTTAACTTTGAATGGTCACTAAATGAACTGTTGTAAGTCGAGTCTTACTTGTACAGGTAGTCCTCGGCTCCCAGCCATTCATTTAATGACCGTTCCAAGTTGCAACGGCACTGAAAAAAGTGACTTATGATTGTTTCTCATACTTACGTCCCCTGCAGCATCCCCATGGTCACGTGATTAAAATTCAGGTGCTTGTCCACGGGTTCATATTTATGACGGTTGCTTTGCCCTGAGGTCACGTGACCTTTTGCGACTTTCTGATGAGTGAAGTCAACGGGGGAAGCCAGATTCACTTCACAATCAGGTTGTTAACTTATCAACCGCAGTAATTCACTTAACAACCGAGGCAGGGAAGGTTGTAAAATGGGGCAAAACTCGCTTAACAAATATCTCACTTACCAAGAGAATTTTGGGGACCTCACTTGTGGTCGTAAGTCGAGGACTACCTGGAGTTTTCTCCCCGGTGTCACTTGGTCTCACCTTTCTCTTCTGCATCAGGCCTGGGCGTGGGGCGAACGGATGCTGGACACTGGCTCCCTGGACCGTTTCACAGTGGACACCGTAGTGACTGAGCAAGGGGTGCTCTCAGCTCTGCTGATCGACCCAACCCATGACGACGACTTCGCAGTGCCCTACAACTGCACGGCGTGGAACCGCTTTGGCGCCCGCTCCGTGGCAGTCAGCTTACGCCGACAAGGTGCGTCTTCTCCTTTCGCTGGGCTAAGCTTGGTCATTCATGGCTGTCTGGACTCAGTAGCCTGTGGTTGTAGCTCGTTGGCTGGGTTCCTGCAACACACAGTCCATCTTCATGGCACAGAACATGATTATTGGCAGGACCACTTATCGCCAATCAGTCAAAGGATGGGCAATGCTCGGAGATCGTTTGGTAGAATACAGTGGCGGGATACACATTTTTTAGTACCGGTTCTGTGGGGGTGGCTTGGTGGGCGCGCTTTGTACATGCGCTTTGCACGCACGCAGAGGGTTTGCTACTGACCTTCTCCTCAATCCTGCACTCTCCCTGTGTGTTCAACAGCTGACACGCACCAATCTGCTGTGCCGTGTGAAGCAGCTGAGCTTCAAAACCAGGAAAAAAAGGTCAGATCAGCAGCTGATCATCGGAGCAAACCAGTTCGCTCACAGATGATCCTCGGCGCTACAGGTTCGGCCGAACCAGGCCAAACCAGTAGAATATCACCACATGACATTTGATGAGACTGCTTTCCTTGTTGCTGTACCTGCTGCGTGGATCAGCATTCCTGCTGAGGTTCTTTGGGTCTTTAATAAGGCTGTGAAAGCCTGGCTTTTCCCCCAGACCCTGAGCCAGGATGTTGTAGATGAGAGCCCCATCTGAAAGGATTCAGACTGTCTTTGGCCTCAGATGTACTTTGATTATTGTTGTTTTAATTTGAGGTTATTTGTTCTTATTTGTTTTAACCAGATGTTAGCCAACCAGAGTTGCAAACTGAGATTTGGGTGGGTGGGTGGTTGAGGAAGGAAAGAAGGAAAGAAGGAAAGAAGTTAAGATAAGGGAAGGGGATAATGAAGTAAGGACAGGGAGGTAAGGAGGGCGGAAAGAAATAAAAGGAGGGAGGGAGGAAAAGGAAGGAAAGAAAGAAGATGAGGGAGGGAAGAAAGAAAGAAAGAAAGAAAGAAAGAAAGAAAGAAAGAAAGAAAGAAAGAAAGAAAGAAAAAGAAAGAAAGAAAGAAAGAAAGAAAAAGAAAGAAAGAAAGAAAGAAAGAAAGAAAGAAAGATAGATAGATAGATAGATAGATAGATAGATAGATAGATAAAGAAGGAATGGTGGGAGGTAGGGAGGGAGGACGGAAAGAAGGAAACAGAAGGAGAGAGGAAAGAAGGAAGGAAAGAAAGAAGGA